ACAATCGAAGAGGAAAGTTTTCAGGTGGGTCTTGAAAGAAGGGAGAGAGGGAGCAAGGTGGAGCGATTGAGGGAGAGTGTTCCAGAGTTTTGAGGAGTAGTGACTGAAAGCGCGACCTCTGACGGTGGGGTGAAGGGTGCGAGGGACGAGCAGGAGGCCGGTGCTAGTCGAGCGGAGGCTCCGGGTGGTGGATTGGGGAGTGAGGAGGTCGGAGAGGTAAGGAGGTGCCAGAAAGTCAATGGATTTGAACACAAATCCCAACGCCTGATGAAACCATTCCAAACATTTCATCATTTGAAGAACAATAAAATTATCTGAAACAAATATCCTCCAGCAAAGAGGGGCAGGGGAGAGAAATACGGGTCTCCCCGAGGAAACTTAACTTGTTTACGGCTGAACAACCTGTCTGGCTTACCATGAAGACTCACGAATCCTAGCTGGAAATTTCCAATGTTGTCTGGTTACCATTACGTTTGTGCCAGATGTCCCTTGTGTTTACCCAATTTGCTGGTATTTCTTTCATCAATATCTATTGGCTCATGTTCTAACGGAAAAATTAAAGGAACTTTTAGGGGAACCAAATTCAGAGGAGAGTGAGACAGCCTTTTCTTCAATACAAAAATGGACTATTCTCATTATAGGGAACTGACCACTCACATCAACAGCAACGTTGGAAACTTATTTTCTCCCAGTTGACTTTCGTTATGACAGCAGAATCCAGAAGACATTTACACAGGCAGATTGGAGAGTAGAGAGAAAGGGAAACACATCAAACTGCAAACCTGCACTTTCATTGTTCTCTTATCCTGTCAGAACCTGCAAAACGGGGGAATTCACATAGATTTGGTAGCACTGCCACAATAAATGAATCCTTCAAATTGGTTAAGGAGCAGTCGCATGTGAGAATACAAGTTTTCACTTTGGTCTGCTATTTGAGGAGAGCTGGAAAATGTATGACACAAATACAGGTATACCCACAGGTGAAAATATCCCCAGTTTTTTAAATCTACACTTAGCTCAGAAATATAACATAAATACAAAGTTTGTCCAACCATAATTGATAAATTATTGTCCTCTCTCCTGGTTTACACAGGCAAACTGTAGTATACAATAAAACTTCAGCTTAAAGCATTAGAGCATAATCTATCATTTCCATAACCATTGTTCAATCATTTTTCACTACAGCCCTCAAATAGCCAATATACTAAAGTTATGTAAAATCATCCAACTTATTTCTGGATTCTGTGCAAATTACAACACTCAGGGTTAAATGAAAACGAGTAGAAATTCCTAAAAGGATATCATAAGGATTGAGCCTTTTTCTGCACTTTGATGAAATCCTGTTTAAACTAGATTGCAGTTTAATGGAATTCTCAATAATGCTGTCAAAAATTACTTATTAACCAGCTTTTATGGTGTGGAGATTCCCACGTAAGTTCTCCAAGTCAGTTGCTCAAGCAAAGTTGATCTGCTGACTATCTGCATGATCTCCGGAATGGCCCAGGTCTCCAATAGCAACTGTGCCTTTATTACATCATGTCGTACAAACCCAAAGAAAGTGGTACAACCATCGGTGCAGACTTCCAGGCAAGCGAGTGAACCAAAATAACAATTTCCTTTCATATTTTTAAAATAAAACTATAGAAAAGAGGACCAGCTTTCCACAAACAATTCCAAGATAACCTCGGTACCCACTGCAAACAATCCTCCAGACAGACTGATCTTTTACTTCATGGCTGTTCGTCGAACTTTGATGAACGCACAATAGCAGCCGCGTTTGTCTAGAAAAGCAGTCATCAGTTGACAGTAATTATTGTAAAGTGCTGTGAGATGTTTCGATGTGATAATCCATTATAAAAATGAAGTTCTTTTAAAGTTATCAACGATATGCAAATTAAAACATCATCAAAATTCTCAGTATTAGCACCAGAATGCAATGAAATAACCAAACTATAATCTACCATGGTTAAAAGAATGTTCCAATGGGTTTCCTGCTGGAACAGAGTACATCATGTGCTTCAAATCAGCTTATAGTGAACGATTACCGACCTAACGAATAACTAAAATGTTCATTACGGGCCAATAGTGTCAGTTTAGCTCGCCATAGGAATGCAAGCTCTTAGTACATATTTATCTCTGCTATCGCCGTCAGCTGAATCACTTTTTAATGATAATTCACTCATTAATAATTATGTTCTATGGTTCAAAGATTACATCTTAAAATCAAATGTTAATTGATATTTACTGCAGACTACAAAAGAAAAGCCTTGCAAGGAAATATAGCTCCAATCTCTCTTTAGATAGGAACCTTTGAAAAGCAACAAGGCACAGAAAAACTCGCCAGATAGAGTTTCAGTGGTATTAAGAGTTAGGAATGGAATAATGTTGCTGGCTTTCATCTTTGGGGACATACTAATATTCTAATCTAGTTCAAAAGTATTATTCACAGAATCTATAGGGTTACAAGGAATACAGCTTACTCCAAAATTGATGTGCATATATAATGCATATATACCTTAACCAAAACCCTGATTCTTTGCTTGTTGGGTGCCAGAAAACATTTGGAGTGAAATGGAGCAATGCCAGAATCAAACAAACATTATGGAGGAAAACTGCTTAGAAACCCCAGGAAGATAAACAAAATAGATGCTATAAATATTTATTTATAGTTCAAAGTTTAAAGTTTGGTTGGCACAGGCCCATAAGCATAAAACTCTACAGTTTGACATTAATGGAGCATTTTATTCTCCCGCCCCATGTATTAAAGTACCAACTGAATCTAAATTAAACCTGTACTCTTCATAAATTGCACCCAATACTTTAGCGCAATAGTGGCATCAAGTACTCTAATGCAACTATTGAATTTAAAGTATGTTACTTTAGAGCCATCACTGTAAAACATCAAACTGTAGCTTGTGTAGTTCATTAATAAAACCAGTGACAAACTCTTCCCTAAATTATTTGAGATTTCATGTGTAGCAAAATTGAAGTTTTCAGGCAAATGTAAAGGGGAGAGATTTACTGAAAGAACTAAGTTCCAGAAATTGTGCAGAATCGTGAATTCTGCAGAAATCAGGTGAAGATGACTAAAGTGCACCCACAACATAAGAAAGCAAGAATGTCAAAAGCACTAAGAATGATCAAAAGAGACAAAGTAAAGGAGAGACAAAGCCTAGAAGGAGTACATTCTGTTCAAAGTACACCCTCCAGAAATAGCAGATTGCACTCTTCTTAAATAATTATTAATGTGAAGCAAGAGAAACTAGCTTTAATCGTATCTCCCCTTAAAGTATAAACTAGGCACACTATTTGATTAAAGACTAAGTTTGATTATAGGGTCAGGAAACAGCAGGTTCCAAGTGGATCTGGAAACCTGTAGCAAACTATATTCTGAGGAATATAAGCACACATAATGAAGGAACTATAGTAGTGGTGGCCAAACTTTTTGGTCGACCAACAAAATACATTTTCTTGATTAACTATTCCTTCATTTATGGCTGTGCTATAAACGAGAGCATCACTGCTCAGTAGCTACTGGAAACAAGGCATTGATTTTGAATGGCCTTGCCTGGACTCGTGCGAATGTTCAATAGGCCACTTCTTCATGGCCAGTGGGCCATGGGCTGGCCACCACTGGTCCATAGCATATTTGCATAGGATGGGGTAGTCCCTTGAATAGAGTTCTACAAGCACAAAGGATTGTACAAGAGGTCCGTGCTGGAGGACTGCAGATGCTCATGTAATCCGAGTTATCAAGAAAGAAATGAAATATGAATCAGGGAATTACAGAGCAGTAAGTCAAACATCCGTAATGAAGAATATCATTGAACAGTGCAGCTAGGCTTTTTCTAAATAGCATAGATGCCATAGGGGCAATCAACATTTGAAGCAATAGGTTATGCCTCACAAATCTACTGGAATTCTTTGGGGAGGTAGTTAAATGAGTAGTGAATGGTTATACAGTGGATCTGATTTAATTGCATAAAGGTGCACAGAATTGAAATGTGCCTTACTAATAAAAATCAAAAGGAGTTGGTGATGATAAATGCTCTGTCTGGGGATAAGTGCTGCTCTGCAGGGGTCTAGTCTGAGGCTTCTGTGGTTTATAACAGTCATAAACAATATGGTGGAGAGTATTTCCAGCAACATTGTAATTGTCCTCTTCCCCAAGATTATGAATCCCAGGCAATAGGGACACTGCTGGAAAATGTCCAGATTCTCTAAGAAAATGCCTAATCTCCAGTATTTTGCATAGATAATTTGAGTTGCTCTTTTTGTAGTAGTGGAAATGTGTCAGATCACATGATCTCTGGACTTCATTCCCTGCAGCTTTATTCCCCAAAGAATCATGTAAGCTATAACAATATTGAGATCAAATGGGTTTAAGGTTCTTTTTCATCTTGTGATTTAAATGGAGAGAGTAACAGTAAATTTGAGTCTAGTTTATTATAGCACATGGTTTCTGCAAAAAATGAACTATTGGAATCATAGCAGCGCAGAGGAACCAGAACTTAGGGAGACAGACTGCAAGTAGACTATTGGGACTCAATAGATTGAGAAGAATGTAGAGAACTTGACTTGAAAACAGGATGCTAGAGATACACATGATGTAAATTAGACCTACTGAAGGTGGAGCAAGTAGTAATCTCACAATCAAATACTCATCTAATTAAACTGCCACAGCTACAGAAACCAATTCAGCAAGTAATATTTACCACATCTTATTTACATAGAAACAGTTAATACACCCAGTTTCGGAAGCATTTTGGAGACTAAATTACAATTGCTTGCATTTATATAACACCCTTCACACGGGGTAGTGTCTCAAAGCATTTGCAAGAGTTGCACAAAATATGAAACCCAGTTTGCTTATAAAATTGAAAAGCACAGCCCTTAAATATAAAAACATAACTTAAGTCAAGGTAGCCCCCCACACCCTTGTTTCTATCTTAAGAATGAGTAACAAGATACGTATCACTTGAGCAATTACTAAATCTTACCAAACTCAGTCTGTTGCAGTCTAATGTAGTCAGCAGGTACATCTACCACATAACGTTCCATCCATGTTATTTCAATTATTTTATCACCTTGTCTCACCTGTGGAACAAAAACAATGGACAATGGTGATTTATATTAGGTATCACGAGGCAACAACAAGTGGTACAGTTTACTTTTAAGATAAATGTGCACATAATCTAACCAGAATTTTGATCCAATTCCAAATGAACAAACCACTTCTCTTCAACTCCCACCGCGTGAGATCACTGATCAAGGTTCAATGCTTAAATGATCCTGATTCAAGCACAAAATGTTCCTCCATTATGTTTTCAATGCTTAAAACAGTGAATGATATTAGTCCAGATTCAACTCGTCAAGGATTTATACAAATGGAAGTAGGCATGTAGAATTGCATCATGCTTCCCAGAATGGAAAATGGTCTTATCAGTGTGTTAGCACTGCACTTACCAAAGGGCAATCTCCTAACAACTGAAAATATTGTTAACAGTATGACCTTTTTGCAGTATCAGGAGGAATTTCTCTAAAGAAGACATGATGACACAACTAAATCAACTCGTTGACAAGGTAGCATCTACTCACCGATTAGGAATCAAAATTCGACACGGACACCTTTACCTATACATAGGAATGCTGGTAAAAAATTAAGCGTGTTACTTTGTTAACTACCTGTTTCAATTCTTGGTTAGCTCGTTGGCTAGTGTTATCCTTATCAAAACATTTACAAATAAAAGGTATATATATACTAAGGAGCTGGCATTCAGCTGACATTGTACATACCAGCAAAATTGTTTTGACTGCTGAGTTTCCTATCCACTATGATTATGCTTCATCTTCATTGGCACAAAGCAGGTCAGACAACCAGCATGGAGCAAAGTTACTCAATTCCTTTCAGGTAGAGAGAGCTAAAGCTTTTAAAAGAAAACTTTACTTCACACCTAAGAAAGATTTCTATTCAAGTCATAAGCTACTAGCATTATTGAGTTGGTACTTTAAAAAAAGTCTTTTTTCAGAATAGTGGCTATGAATAATGTCTAGGATTTTAAATTGCAATTTTGATGATTCATAGACATTTTGAAAAAGCTGAAACACTAGCTCTAAATAGCACCCAATATATTTCTTTATACTAGTGATACATTCTCAATAGTTACAATTCTATGTTTCTTTAAATATTACAACACAACAATCCCAACTGAGGTACTGAACAAGATTTTAAAAGATTTGATTTCTGATGGTTTTTGAAAATCGCCAAAAAAAAGCGAGTCCCTCTTATACTCACGAGAGGATAGAAAACCCCATATTAAAAAGGTATGCGATCTAGGCATGTCACGGGATAAAATTAAAAAAAGGGCAAAGGTGCTAAAAACATATACGGAAATCCATTTGGTAATGCTCTACAAATTAAATCCTTTTATTGCAGGATCCAAAGTAACGGTGGTGTGCAGAAATGTTGCCACAGTGCCCTGGAGAATTCAATACCGTTATTATCCCATAAAGTCAGACTTTAATATGGTCGCACAACATAAATTACTAAAGAGATGGAAGAAAGTATAATCTGTATTGTTACGAAACAGATGGAATTACACTTGCTAATAAAGGGTGTAAGCTACGGAACTATCCCTCTGTACACTTTATCAAACCAGTTGTTATCTTGCTGCAGTAACAGAAAGCAGTCTTATACTGTATCTGTTCGGGTGTGATAACCCAGCTTGTATTGTGCAGGTGGTTTTCCAATATAATAGCAGGCAAAAGTTCACTGGTAGTAAATCCCTGTCCATTTGATATGTGCAATGTTTGGCAGCTTTTAGAGATTCTAACTTATTGGGAATGGCATATGAAGTCACTGAATAAAATATACAGTAAATCCACCCAAGCCTGTTATTTGGCTGGTATTAATGCAGAATACTAACGCTGTGAGTGGAAGCTTTTTTGCTAAAGATTACATTACAACTAAACATTCATACATTATTAATGATGAATCCACACACTGCAAAAATAACTTTCATTTGCCTCAGTCATTTCAGAAGGTGGCAGAAATCAAATAATGCTTTTACACTATAGGAGTAATGCAGGAAAGGTGCACATGCAATTTGTGTTCAATAAACTTAGACCAATCTTCACAGTTAGCAAGATCGAAGACCACAGAAGATTACTTCAACGAAAGCCTCGTTCAAAAGCAGCAAGACGTGGACTCCATCTGTATGTACTAAATAATATATTTTTTNGAAGGAATTATTACCCCTGGTAAAGCATTCCACCAATCGACTGACACCCGGGTTCCTACTTACTGCAAGGTAAACAGAGGCATGTGGAGTAAAGAAACTCGCCTAACATTTTGCCCTGCCCGGAAATTAAACCCAGCTCCTCTCTCTTGCGAGGCCAGTGATCTAACCACTTGGCTACAAGATTAATCTTTTAAGCATATAGTTCTAGTATTTTTGTTTCACAATTATCACAGAAAATAATCACAAAATTGTTCACCTCAATTGCAGTGGCCCTGTTGAGATTTTAACTAATATTGCAGTTATATAACAGTGTTAAAATAATGTCTCTGGATATACACAAACCTATCTTATTTCCTCATTCCTAATTTCAACTTGATAAGGACAATTTCAATCAAAATGTGCAAGCAAGCCTTTTCAACTTATGTTACACAAGTTTAGTACATTTATTGTTTCCTTTCTATGTAATAAAACTCAAGAAATAAAATATTTTGACACAAACAGTGCAGAATTAACTATATTACTCTAGAGCAATGTACATTTTCATGCCACACAACTTTGTTTTCAATTCAAGCAGCAAAATGAGATTTCTTTCACATCTTGTTTACACTAGCGTCCTGTAGAAAGCAACATATTGGGCTGTCAGTACAATACTGTTCCATCAAGCGCATGACAGGCTAGGACGTTTTATTTGAAGGATTTATGCTTCATTGCCAGTAATGCACCTCAATGTCAAATCTTTTCGAAAAAAGAAATCTAGGTCACAGGATACAAAGGCCAATCACTGTTATCATGAACAAAAGAGAAAACATTCCTTTAATATGGAACTGCACAGTAGTACTTTAGATGAGTCAGTGTATATACAACAAGATTACATTTGTATAGCGTCTTTGACGTCGGGAGGCGCTGAACAGTAAGGTAGAGAGAATGTCTTGGGTAAAACAAAAAGCTAAACCTTCAACACATATGGCTATCCAGAGCTTTCAACATTGGATACTCGTGTTTGATTAGTTATGTCATACAAATATGTTCTGTAGTTTTTCCTTAGCTCCAAATAGGTTTCTATTTGTAACACAAAATAACAAATGCAAAACTTATTTTTTGCCACAAGAGGCTGCTCTGCTGCTTAGTTACAACCTGATCCATCACAAGAGTCAAAAGTGAGCTGTACTATTAAGCTTTTGAATCCTAAAGTCTGAACAATATTTTAACTGCATTTTCCTCAAATTGAATTTTATTGAGTTTAACAGTCCACTGTAACAAAATACCCCATTTTTTTGTGGGGGAGAGGTGTGGAGGTGCGGGAAGAGGGAGAATTCATTGAATAAAAACTGTACAAAGTTTCTGCGTATACTGCACATATACATACATAAATAGATATCTACCTAAAGAAAATTTACCTAACCCTTAGGTGTGTTTAAAACAAGCATCACAGCATTAACTTGTTTTCTAAATGAGTTTGATGGACTGGTCTCAATCACCTTTCCTAGCAACTAGTTCCCGTTGTTAATTACCCTGCAGTTAATCTGCCAGCAATAGCGAAGCTGTCGATGCTATCCCATTCTCCAGGCTATACAATGGAGGAGGATGGAGATGTCAGTTGGAAGGATCAAGAGAGTAAAAAGCAGAGAAAACTATGTATGAAGCTTTATTACAGTACTGACATTTCTTATTTGGATAATTTAAGTAAAACCATACATTTTAATGCGGCTGAAATCTATCTTTAGTCATCAGAGAGTTAATATTCTGATTATTCTGTTTGGAATGGATGAACTATCACAATTATAATTAACATTTATTTCAATGCACCGCAGCAATAAACTCATTACACTCAGACTATAGTTGTCACAGTAATCATTATTATATCAAACTGTGAAGGACCACAATATTGATAATTGTTAGCACTATATCATTCATGCTGAGAGCCCTAAAGCATGCTAATAATTGCTTCAATTTATTCATTTGGTACAGGTCTTTCTTGTCAATGGTGCTAATATGCATCATTCACTTCAACTGAAATGATCTGGAATTCCCAAACGCTAGCTTGTTTACTGTGAACAATCAGATTCTATGGTGGAATCTGAAAAGGGCTCCATCTCTTAAAATACAAATGCTCTTTCGAAGTTAAAATATTCAAGCCTTTTTTTCAATGCAAATGCAATATTTGTAACAGTACTGTAATTTAAAACAAAAAAACTCATGTGTGCAATTCTTCATATTGTAATAAATATCAAACGCAACTAAATCTGCTTTTATTTTAGCTTTGGGATAAAGATTTTCCTCCTAGTTTTCTCAACAACCACTGAGGAATTCTAATGGTAATTATAGTTATTCCCTTCCATCTTACAGAACATTACTATTCAAGAATCAATAGCCCCAATTATCACCAATCAAGTAAAATGTACATTTAGAATTAGCAGTCCAGATCACCTCAGAATTAGCTATTTTGGTCAAATGCCTTTTATGTGGTTATGTCTTGCACCACAAACAGTATAGTATGTATTGATAAAGGGCTCTATACTCTATTTTGTGTGCCATTGCTGTTTTTCTTTTGCCACTTTACCAAACTAATCTCAAATTCCTCTTCACTTTGCCCAACAACCATTATTACTTTGTTGGAGGCCTCTCTGTATGTGTGTGTTCCTTTCCTCAATACTACAGATATAAATAATCCATAAATTTGAAATATCACCTTATCACTTTGTCAAAAAATCTCTAAGAACTTCACAGGATTTACCATAAAGTGCAGTGACTGTGAATTTTGTGGGCAATACGGTATGTAAAATAATATGAAGAAGGTCATAGTTCATTGAAAAAATAAACAACTTAGTGGATGAGAAAAACAAATTTCTCCTTTGTGCTTTTGAATTACGCTGCCCCACAACATTTAGTGGTTTATTCATAAATAAATCAAGCTCAGCCACCTATCCTTCATATAAACCACTACATCTCCTGACTTGATTTATGACATCAACAGAACTCCTCAAAGGTTTTACAGGAGTTATCACAGCCACACGCATCTAGAACTCTTTTTACAAAGTGCCAAACCACAGGCAATTCTAGGTCAAAGATTCATGCCAATTGGGAACAGGAGAGAAATTGCCTTTGCTCATTTTATTTACAAGTAAAAATTTCATGTCAAGGCTAGAATGCAAGCCCAGCAATACAACATGAAAAGGCCATGTCGTTTAACCCACTCCATCACGTAACGCTACCTTTTACAGATATGTGGCCAACCAGATTTTAAACATGTGCGGACAAGTAACCACATTGAAGGTAATGGAATCAATGGTGTTTCAATTGAAATGGATAAGATTAAATTTGACTCTAAGGAATTTGACCCACTATTGAATAACTGATCGAAAGCAGAAATGTCTACCACAAAAGAGACCAATAAAAAAAGAACACAACCTACCTTTAATGTCACTGCAAACAATGTGAACAAACATTACCTGTTCTACAGGACAGCACTGCATTTACTATAATATATTAGTATGGTTAAGTGATTGAAGAAATCATGAAGTTATGTAGGTGGGCTAACATTCTTTGCTCAACAAGTATTCTGAGAATGAACAGTGTAAAATATCCCTTCATCAATTGAAGAAATAGATACAGTCGGCAAAGACTATATTATATTGATTATATTGAACTAAATTATATTGAGTTCCACTGATGTAATGCTGATCAAAACTGTAGTGTATTTATTCTGCATCAGATATATTTATAGAATATGGGACCCCAGTTCTAGGAACCAGTCTTGTAACATATTAAAGCTTTGCATAAACAAGTCAAACTATTTTACAGTGCAAGAACCAAATCAGAGATACACATAACAAAGGAATTATTTCACAAAGAACATTTAAAATGTTCAAGCAGTTAAAGCAAGGAAGGTATGTTCTCTACGCAATTGCTTGAGATATCTGCAACCAAAATCATTTATGACGCATGACCTACCTTTTGACCAAAATCTAAAGAGAGAGCTTTTATTTAAGAGCTTGGGAGCAAATTTCAAATAATTGATGCAAATGGCTGAAACATTCCTATCCCTAATAAACCTTTGGAAAAAGAAATGAGGCAAGAAACATGCAGATCCCCAAAAAGGTACCTAACGTCATCACAATATAACTTTAAAAAGTGAACAAAATACAATTCTCACACGTAAATTGAAGATCAAGGGCCCAGAACGTGAGAAACATTAGGACAATTGACTGTAATTACCTTTAGCTGGTCCCTTTCCATTGATCTACTCCTACTGAAGGATGATCTTTACTGGGAGTTCAGCGATTAAATACAAATAAAAAAAATCTGTGGGATTCAGCAGAAGAATGCTCGTTCCACATTGCTAGCAAAGTGTTGGATATGCAAATGTGAGCAAGTGACTGGATAATATTTTAAGCTAGTCTCTTTTCATGATATATATGCAAATCAAAAGTCACTTTTAATAAGCTTCAGTTACATAAGACAACGCAGAATAGAGCTGTTTTGAGTATTGGGGAGGGGAATGGATAGATCCAGTCCCCTCAGTCTGATCAGGCTTTTAACTGCTAAATGGCATCTTCTGAATGGTTTTGCAATGGGCTATTGTGATCTACCTAAGCTCTGTGACATTTAGGTGTGCATGCTAATTATTAGGGTAACTGGATTATGACTGGTACAGGTTCTGAATAGACTCCCTCAGGAAGCATGTGAGGAACCATTCTTACAAACCTGTGATACCATATATATCTGTGAAGACCGATGAAAATGTTCTTATGATGAAAAAAATTACCCGAAGCATTTAAATTTATTCTTAAATCATTTTCAGTTGCACTGAAAGCAGTATTTGAAAATTAATATTCCTTGCACAGATTTGCTATGAAATGTAATGAGTTTGGAATATTCCCCATGCAAATTTTAAGCACTCTTTCAACTGAATGAAAATGACTCCATTACACTTGCTAACGCTGCCTCTGTGTAACCATACCTATACCTTTTGAAGATTCAGTATAATAATCTCTCCATGAAATCTACAAGCAAAATAGTCTTTCAATTTTGTCAGGTTTTATTGGAAAGAGTATTTTGCAAATGTACAATAGCAAAGAAATTATTCTTTTGTGGTTAAATTACAAAGCTGTGAGACAGCCTCCACTAGAGGCTGGCGTGGTGTTCCCATCCAACACATAAAACCATCCATTCATTCGGTTACTTTCTAAAAGCTTTTGTTCAGCTATCTGAATGGTGCACATCATTTCAATAACATTACTGGTCTGCATTTGCCCCTCTGCCACCCAAAGTGACTAACAAAAGGACTTTACATGACATTCCAAAGCAACCAAAAATGGATCCAACAATCATATAGATTTGTTTGCAAAATTTATAGTCAAATAACTTAATAATAATAATCATTGCATTTGATATAGCGCTTTTTACATCTTCTACACGTCTCAAAGCGCTTCACAGAATAGACTGTAAAATGAGTTGACTGCATATCTGTATATCTGTATTTGTATATCTGTATCCTTCCATTTTCATAGCACCTTTCGTGAAGGAATATCTCAAAATGCTTGGACTGACTGAGACAAGCATAAGTTTTATCCAAATTGTTATCTTTTTATCTGAAGCCATGCATCATCGCCCCCCAATGGAGATGTCAGGCAGGGTACATTCTGTCAGCTCTCTCTCAATTCCATCTGTTATCAGTGCAAATGAAATGAAGGTGACTAACTCTCTTATTCCCCCTCACCCCCTATACGTGGGAACATATCTGCTCTCTTTTTAGAATCTATCCCCAGTTAGGTAGAGTAATTCGGGAACTGAAAATGTGTACAACTACAGCCTCAAAATGCCCCTAGGAATTCTTCGCATGATTCAGCTGTTAAAACTACTGCTTCATGTCAAACTAAACCATACTAATCTGGAAAGTCCCAGGTTTGATCTCTGAGTCTTTCTAGCTGATCCTGCAGGGTGACAGGACACTTCAAGTAGCCTCAATGTCACTAGTCTAGACAGAGTAGAAAAAAGAATGAACCAGCATTTTCACACTTGTTTGCTATACAATAATTCCTGATGGAAAAAGGCTGTGCATATCGGATAGAGATTGGGCTTAGATGGGATATTCATTACGGTCAAATGCCACACATGAAGATCGTCTACTTGGGCAAAGGTTTGCAGGACAACTGTGTAACTGACCCCAGCATATGTAAGGCAAGAAAAGGAGAAACAGAAAAACAAAATGGCCACCATGTAAGAAACACTCATCTTCAAAGTTTGGTGATCATTCCATTTAAAGTTATTATTATTACAGTAATTTAAACTTATTACAGAATTACCAGAACACATCACTGTCGCCCAGAAGTTTACAGTATTTTCCCTTAAAGCCTAGCTGTAGAAAACAGAGTACCGTTACAATGCTAGTTTATCAATCCAAATACAAATTAGAAATATAAACATGGGTTTAACTCCAATGGAACATCTGTTATTTATCCAAAGGGAAACCCACATTTATTATTTAGCGTATCTAACAAGATAGCTGATTAAGAACACACGAGCACTCAATGCATATTTCGTGGTATAAACACAAAACTAACTATTAGAAGCAAATAACTCAAGTGCAGTTTTTAAGCTTAACAAAGTAAATAATTTGAAATACTTGCAGTGAGATTAGGGGAAGTTGGTGTAAATTTGGTGTAAATTTCGTTTTCAACAGTAACAAAACACTCACAAATATATGAACTCACATTTTTGTACAATTCAAACGTGAGCCAGAGGTGACAACACTCAAGACAAGTGTTATCTTCCTTAAGAACATACAAGCACTCAAAAGGTATTCCATGGTATAACTAACAATTTAAGTGAACAGTGATTATTCAAGTTCAGAAGTAATGAACGTGTGTGTGCTGGAACACATCAATGAGAATGCGTTCTGTGCAATGAGAAAACTATTCAGTGAAAAAACTCACAAGATCACGAGAGGTTCAGATAGAGAAGTTCTTTCGGGCCACTTAAAACTTATCAATCAGTGCATGCTCTGTTAATGTAGTCATCACTAGATTTGGTGGATTGTAAACATGACCTTAATACAATAAACAGTGATCATTTTACAATAAACTGCTTTATATTCCCAGTCTTACAAATCTAAGAATATTGTTTTACATGTAAACTCCCGACTCGTATGGAACACGTTAAATGTCAAGCACTTACTTTTATTAGACCCTGTTCTGTTGCTAGGAGACTTCATTCAACAAATCTCAAACACTGTTCCTTTGGTTTACTCAAGAACTTGGCTCAGTGCAGCCTTGTAGGCAACATATCCAGCAATGAACACCATCAATTAGACATCTGCAGGAACAAAAAACAAAGAATAGGTACATCAAAACCCACCAGAAATTGAAGAATATTTCTCTCAAATTCCTCAAATTAGAGTAATAGAATCAATAATTCTAGCAGATATCTGGCTGTATGCTCTCAAGTACAACAGTATAGAGTAACTACAAATCTATATATGTGAATGTAATTGCAGCAAATTTTGGAAACAGTAAAGATGAAGCTTTAAATTCTGCACTCTTGTTATTGAATATGATACCTGCATAGTCACTAGTTATGCACATTAAATTATACGATACTAGGCATAACCTGCAGAAGAGAATCAAATTTCCTCTGACCAGGTATGTACTCAGTTATGCAATAATATGACGGAATACGTAATTCTCACTTCAATAGACTTTTTCAGACTAAATTCAATTATTAAATGTTATGAGCCAATGACTATCTTTAAAATACATCACGACTGGCAGATTCAAGTGTTGAGTTTCACTCCCATGAATTAAACATCATTCGTGCAACTACTTTTCTTTTTTAAAAAAAGATCAATTACCTCCCGAATACGTGCACCACAATCTAACAGTGGAAAAAGAAGCAAATAATAAGAACTGGAGAGAAATGAACTTTTCAGTGACCAGTTTCCCTATTTATCCAGCATTAAACATTGTACAACATAATACTGCATTGAAAGATCAAGCAGCAGTAGTCAACATTGTAAAGAGTTACTGGCGGAGCACCGTAATAACCCTGAAACATGCGTTTTGAAGCATTGTTCATATTATTAAGAACTTTCCATTAATAATTAAATGTTCTCTCCATTTTTTTTCTTTTATTGAAATATTTATGTTGTTTAGGTATAATGCCTGTCAACTCTGAGACAGAAACAGGGTTCAGTAATCAGGCCAACCATAGCAACATAATTCAACTATAATTGCAACAGATTAATCTTTTGTCATAACCAACCACATTTTAGGAAATATGCCACATATGAAACTCAATAACCTCAGCCGAACATTTCCATCCTTCTGTTATTTCTACGAATATCTATTTCAAAAGCCATATTTTTCAAAATATGTGTGACAATTACAGCTGAACAGAATTGAATCTGGTGTGAATCCAAGAGACTTCCAATATTAAACAGTGAAGCTGAACATGATGCCATAGCAAGCCTTAGAAAATATCTGACGCATGCTCCTCCACTGATTCTGTGTCATCAATCTACAGACATGATTTCAGTGGACCTGGGGTAACCTAAAATGTGTTGTAACTGCAGCTTTATACTATTCAATAAAATTAGTTGATAGATACACAAGGATTCACATTCACATATAGTTAAGGTTCACAGAGCACAATTTTGAACAGGAATCAGAAATGTCATAAGAGGAAACAGCCTTTCAAGGTTATAGTGTTAGGAGCCACCTTTAAGATTTGGGGCATTGATGAGGTGCTTTGCAGGAGGAGGAAATAGACATATGTTCCTTCGTTACATCTCAGTAAACAGTTACAAAGCAGCCATGACAGGTGGTGGAAGCAAGTCTTGGCTCATATATTGGTTTCCTGGGGTGGGGGAGTGGAGAATGGAACAAAAAGACTATGCAAGAATGCTAAAAATTGAAATGAGGAAACAGAAAATATATATTTTTAATACAGAAACTTTAAACAACAGAAAAATATTATACACAGTATAGCCTACAAAGCACAGTATTTCCTTCTATTTATTTACAAAGAATAAATAATCCTTGCATTTACTGTAGCTCCTTATCCCATTCAAATGTCTTCAAGTGCATCATACAGGATTCTGTGAAGTGACTGTATATTTGTAGGTGTACACACTAGACAAATTGCATATCGCAATGCCCCAAAACAGCCATGAAGTGAATGACCAATGTTTTAGGAGAAACTACTTTCTCTTTTCAAATATTGCCATGGAATCTTTTACATCTCATCCTAAGGGCCACACTTCAGACCAGGCAGAGCTCCCCCAGCACTGCACTAGAGCGTCAACCTAGACTGTGAGCTAAAAGTTCCAATGTAGGGCTTGAACCAATGACCCAACCGGTAATACACCACAGGAAACATGCCATTAACGGCTTAGATAATATAAAGTTTATACCTTCAGGTCCTAGATCACTGCACTTCAGCTTTACAACCAGCTGTTCAACACAACTGCGACATGACAAATTCACACTATTACACTATAAATGTTATATAAAACAATAAATACCAGTGAGCTTAGGCTGCACTTCAAATCGAGAGGATCATGGGACATGCACAAAGTTCTAAAACCTCACTAGCAGTTCAGAGCATCCTCTGAACCCCTCGACTGAAATGCAGCCTTGTAACTCACCTCCTCTAATTCTGTAAACACTGAGGCAATACCTGCCTCAGCTCCTGTCAAATGATGCAGTCCTATTATGTGTGCATCATAAAGGTGATGATTGTCATTCCAGTCATGTAAGGTCACTGTAACTGTCACAAACAGTAAACTTGATTTTCATATTGCATTGCACACCAAGTAAGCTGCATTCATACATTGCTTGCCTCAACTCTTACAATGGTGCAATACAATCTCAAGTTTAAAAGGACTTCATTCACGTGGTTTAATCGCCGTTAAGCACCAGAAAGCTAGACTTGTAAAGCAAGTCTCTTGTAACAATGTGTCTTTGAAGAGAATTTGAAGAGAACAATTCTAATATCCTCTTGATGCTCACATTGCCCGAATTAGAATTAGAAACAGCATCAGAGCCTTTGGGATGTTCATAAACCATGTAGCAGGAGCCATTTTCACCAAGCTGGCCACATTAAGAGAATGGTTAACCGTGCAGTATGAAGCACCAGTAAGTCTCACAGTTCTTAGGTGACATGGTACTAAATGTTGAGGCTTCAGCTTGCAGAGTTGAGGTTACATTTTCGCTTTCAAGTCTCAATGATGTGCCAGACAACTTAGGTGCTCATGAATAATCGAGGACTTTTTTTTCGACGTGGTAACCGACCACAAAAGGAAGAAAAGCTAAACAGGCCAGGAATCCACTCAGATTCAAATTTGAACGTACTCTGATCTTGACAAAAAATGAAAATATAAAATTTCACATTTGTTTTTATCAGCGATCAGGTACCAAAAATAAATGTCAGTCCCACAATGTCGAAGATTTTACTATAGAATATGTTTCCACTGGATTCTCCATCCAATTATTAAAACCATGCTATAGCTGTGGCCATTGTACATTTAATTGCTTAGGCCAGGTCTTGATAATCTAGATAGGGCACACAGTTGTGTACGAAATCTTGTTTTGCTTGTGCAACATTCAACATTTATTTGCCAATTGCTGATACCACAATTGCAAAGCCAGATAACATTGATACAAATCCAAGTCTTCCCTCTGTAGAGATTGGCTTTTTCAATGCAAGAGAAATAAAAAGTGTTTCAATTTGTTCTAGAATTCTAAAATGAGGAGTCGATTTGAATGACTAATTTGCAGGAATCTAAAATTAGATTTATTGAATTAACGGAAAGGAATACTGCTGCAGGACTGACATTCTGCTCCAGGTGTGTTTAGCAATATGTGTAAATTTTCTGCCACTCTTGAGCGAGGGTAATGCCAGTAATACACAGAGTAGAGACAGAGAATTATACTGCCCATGCACAGCTAGGGGTTGGGAAGGATTAACATTTCCCAGAATATAATAATAATAATCCTTGCATTTGATGTAGTGCCTTATCAGGTCGCTGAGACATCTCAAAGTGCTCCACAGAATATACTGTAAAGTGAATTGACTGTACATTTTGTGACAGAAACGCAGCAGCCAATTGCAAATTAATTATTAATTAATTAATTAATTATAGGCACAAAGCCCATTTGCAACCAGGGGGAAAAAAATAATGGTCAACAGCTGCTGCATAAACTTTAGCAAGTTGATTGTTCAGCAACTTGACCTCTACTGTAAATGCCAAAAGAGGTAAGGTGCACAGCACCAGGAACGGCATAAATTTACAAACAAGCCTGCTAACAGGTGAGCCGTGTGTTGGCTGCAGTAAGTATTAAGAAAAATAATGATGCCTCTTGTAGGTCTTGCTAATGTTTGCCCATCACCTTCAGTGCTGTTTTGTAAATCAGATGAGGTGGAGGGAGGGGGTTCGAGGCATGAGGAAATTGCAGTCAGCCAATATCTGAAGAGATGTGTCATAATGCAAGAGCCATTTATTAAAATACCTTGCAAATCTCCCAGCTGTTCAATTTTGAAAAATGGATGTTATTTGGATAGGCTGTCAATTTGAACACAATTACTGAATATGTTTTTTCACCATCAAAGCACCCACAAAGCTACTACAGTTAGAAAGATCTTTCCAACATAGCATAAAAGTAAATATGGAACATATTTAAAAATGTTCAGATTCAGTTTATCAACCAGAGCACACTTAAGCTCTTCTTATTCAATAGTCACAAGTACAGCCCTGAACATTAAACTCCATTTACTGCAAAATTTGACTTTCAATTTGGATTCTGTCCCAGAAATTATGCTCCAGTGAATTATAATGTTGTCATTTCACCTCTGAGTCTCAGAAACAAGGAGTTTCAATGTACCATCGACAGATCTGATTAGTCACCTTTCTTATCATGGTTAAGCGTCCTAAATTCACATTTTCTGTCCATCTGGCAAGTGCAGTGGACAAAGTGTATGGCACAAAATTGACAAAATTCAGCACTAAGCAAAAACTGTACTGGAGATAGCTGTAAGATAGCTGTTAGAATTATGGTACCATTGTTGAAAGCACCTCGATAGAGCTCTAACTCATAATTTACTTGACCAAAATGTGCTGGATGTATTGCCCTGGGTGCATTCCATTTCCCAATATTCTCATCTCTTTCTTGGTACGAAGAAAATCATATTGCTAAATCTCCCCCAAATAAAAATATTCCAAATTTATAGGCATTTAAATCAAAAAAGCACTGAAAATGTTATGTGCAAATGTCTTCATGCCACACGCAATAAGAAAACCTTCATCTCAAACCAGCATTAAAATAAACCAGCTTGAGCCTTGCTTGTGGCGACATAATATCGAACATTAAATATGTGTTGCACATTGGTCTGATATCAATCTTAAAATAAATTTAATAATTTTGCAATCTCTCTTTGCTGCTTTATAAAACTTTCAAACTGCACATGTTGGGCACTACATGGCCTCCTCCTTATCCTATGCATCCTACAAGCATGGAGAAAAGGCAAGGAAATGGCGTATTCTAATCTCGTGGAACATGTTTTCTAGGCTGAATGACCATTCTTATTCCTGAATCACTGCAATTCAATGTACAAAGATATTTATACCGAGCCCAAAATAGTGCAATGTTATAATAACATTAAATAGCAATCCTTGCGTTTGATATAGCACCTTATCATGTCTTCAAACCATCTCAAAGCGTTTCACAGAATATACTATGCTCAACGGATGCTCAACAAGAAATGTATTCATACCTTGTTGAGCGTCCGCCTTAGATATTCCACTCTGTTCAACAGTATCCTGCCCTAATCCTCAAATTAGCCCCAATGGATTTCTAGGTCATTTAATGCTAATTTGATTCAGTAGAGCAAAGCTTCTTTTTACACAGTGATCAATGGAACTGTTTTGTTGCAAAGCAAAAGGTGGGAGGTTTTACTGCACACTGCAAACTTAAACAATAAATTGCTGCATTCAGTTAGATACTGAAACTAATACTGCTTTCAGCACGCTTTCACATTCAACTTTGCATCAGTAGGGTCAAACTGAATTTAGTCTTCCCATGGGTTCATAGTAAGGTCTGCCCAAACTTCATTCATAGCGCAGAAAGTATCAGATTATGCGTTTGATATATCCAACTTCTACTTCAAACCTAGAAATCGAGAGATTTACATTGCTATTTATACTACCTTGATCTAAATCTCCTGAATGAGGTGACAGATAAAGCCAATAAAAATTGTGCTTCTGGTTTCCAAACCATGTAAATCTCTAGCACAAATGTAACACAAGGCACGCACTAGTTAGTCGTTGGCTATATAAATTGGATTTAATTGTTTGACAAGTTGACATCTATGGCAAACGCCAAAATTGGAAACGTGTACATTAGAGACAGGCAAAGGATCATGTTACAAAGTACATGAAAAGTTGAAGTTCTATCTTTTAAAAAAAGAGAATGTGAAAGATGCATTTCCAATTACTGCATCTCTCTACTGTAGGCATTCACATACAAAGAACAAATTCTGATGGCACAAAACTAAAAAAAACTCTAGAGCTAACTGTACTACCCAAGTTACAAAGCCGTTACAAAATTGTAAAGGTTGTTGCCAATTCCTGAAAGAAAATACCTGGATAAAACTTACCGTAATTGCAATGGACCACTACAGCTATATTTATCTCGAAGCCCATCCAGTCTGCACTACGTACAGTGCTGATCAATTGTTTAAGTACATACAAGTGCACGTTTGGTTCTGGTACGATTGGCAGTCTTAAGGGAACCTTTGGAACAAGCAGAAAGATTCCTGCTCTTTCGCTTGTGATCCTTAAATAGAACAATTGCCCTGTACTTTCTCACAGCGTGTTGGATACAATCTGTCAACTATTTAATGCAAGGATTACATTTTGTTCAGTACAGGGAATGGGCAAGGTTCTCCCCTGACCTTATTCAAAAGGTACTTTATCTACTGACCAGTAAAGAATGTATCACAATGTACTGCAGGCAAAGGACGTATTGAACTTGAGGTAGATCCAGCAAAAATCTATTGCTCCAGCCCAACAGAGACAACCTTTCAAGGCAGACACACATTTCAAAAGTCAACTCCAGGAGTGATAGGCAATAAATGACATGCTAAACGATCAGGTAACCAGAATATATATTTGTTCCTGATTCTTGAAACACAAACGATAGTCAGTCACAAGTCTCCCTTTCTCATTGTGAAGCAGTGCCCCTTAATCAGCCCCCACAGAAAGCCTTAATCTGCATCTCCTACGGTCCAAGCCTTGCTCTGTTGCTAAGAGAACAGTCCTATACTAAAACTTAAGTAGCTGACAAATAGTTTGAGAAATGACCAGCTGCAGGAGGCCTTCTTCACGTTCTTATCTTTCTGTACTCATTACCTGAGGCATATGAATTTGTTGTTATCTACGCAAAGTACTGAAAGCAACATGTTCAGTTGTATTAGAGCTTTCAAGCTTACCCAGGATAAAAGGCAAGCAAGCCTCAGTTAGCTGGCATTCTCGTCTTTTTAAAAAAAATCCATACTATGTTATTCAGTACATAAAGTTCTACATTTGGTTAATACACTTTGAATTTCACTAATAACAAATGATTTATTTAACTCTGATTTCTGATGTCACTTAACTGCTCTGACCTGCAGTTAAATCACTTAATTGCATTTACGATAATGAGAGTTTACATGCAAACACCTTTGATAAACAATCACTATGCTGTAGTCCTTAACAGTTTGTGTAACCATCTGCTGATATCCCTTTGATGACCAGTAGTCTATGGACATAATGACTTTCACAGATATCATCGTCCAAAGAACAAAACTATGTGAGGGCTGATCCCTGCTGCATAGTTATAGAAGTTATAAGACCTTTACTAAAGAAAACCCTACAGGGAAAACCCATAAGAGCACCTTGGTTTGCCCCAATATTTTAGCCACATCATGGGTGTACCATGCTTCCAGTAAACACAGGTCCATGTTAGACCCATTCAATAAGCAAGCGAGTGCTGTAATCGAAGAGAATTTTAAAAGGGTGGTTCCAGCTTATAAACTGCATTTTTGCAAATGTTTAAATAAAAACTGGACTGTTTTACATGATTTTACGGACTGCAAATAATTAAATCTTCATCTGTTACCAATTACTGGAATGAATTGAAGGTTACATCAGGTACTTAGGTAAGATTTTATGAGGCCAATTGACCTCACTCTAGCTAGCAAACACTTCTGGTTCATACTTCAAAGGTAAAAGAAATAAGCAAAAATCTTCAGAAATGGAACCCTCAGTGAGGTTCATGCCCTCATTTGTCTGTCCAGCAAACTCTGATCCAATCAATGGCATTGCCACCAAACAGGAGTCAAATGTTTTTTGATTTTTAAACTTGTTGTCTTGTCTACACTACCCTTTGCAAAATATCACGATCTGTTCCTGAACCACCTGCTGTCTCTTTGTGTATGTAGTTAATTGTTCAAGAGAACTTTCTTTCATAGCTGCTCTACAGTATCAATGCAATTATTATTCAATGAGAATTTAATCCTAAATAATACAATGTATTCAATAATTAGGTAATTACACAAGCATTTGCAGTGCTAAGATGATTTGACATCTTAAACCACTGCAGCAACTAAGGCAACAGCTAATGTGCAAAATGCCAAATGTTAAACAACACATAAAAGTTAGTTGAAGTTGAATAGACAATTTCAACTTGGCACTCTCTAGGTCACAATTAATCTTAGCTACGCAAATACAGAATGCTGGCAATATGGATCACAATGGAATGAAAAGTATGTCTGTGAAAACTTGTGGACTTTATTTGATAAAGAATCAATGTCAGTCAGTGAGTTCAAGGGAGTAATTCAGTCTTGGGGTTCTGTTGACATTCCCAGTGCGTCATCTGAACTGCTGAATGAGTTATAGCTTTGTACCTCTCCGCCATTCACTTATTAACCCGAATGTACAGTACATCCACTGTAATATATTATTAACGGCAATCAAATCCTGACATGCCTTCAAACTACTGTAGCCCAACCAAACATCATCTCCAACTAGCAAAAACAAATTGTGAATCAAATTAAGCTACTGTGTCTATAAGTAGTTAAGGTTACCCACCCCTGTCTCCTTAGGTTCATTTTATTTGTTTTTTCTTTAATAATTGTTGACCAAGCATTTGGAGTTTAGAGCAGGAATTAATGAACCAAAATTTGGCATGGCTTTGCATTTATGCTGTTATAACAGTAAAATATCACTAACAAAAAGGTAACTAAGATACCTGTACAAAAAATCAGTGAGGGTTAACAGAATCTAAAGCATTTTCAGTTGCATCTTGTTACCGTGAATAAGTAAACCAGCTTAACCTTAGAATACAACAGATTTATATTTTAAATGATACTGCACATAGGCGGTAAAACACTATCCTTTTAAAAAGAAGTTGTTATTTCTACTTACGTAGGTAGTAGAGGAGGTTGTGTCCTGCTCACTGCAACACAAGTATGCCTCACAGGACTCAGTGGTATTTATTGTTTCAATGTTTACAGTTAATGGTCATAACTTCTATTTGTTTAGCAACAGCAATCAGCAACAGTTACCAATAGTGTGTGAAGTTATCTAATCAAGAAACTATAGGTACGTGACATCAAATGTTTAACTTGCCATTTAAACACTGTTGTGATGAGCAAAACTGAACTTCTATCCTGCAAATAAACAGCTACGCAGGCCCATGCGGTTGGCATGGCAAATTATCCAAGTACTTTGTATAAAGGTGAAGGTTGCGAATTGTGCAAGCTTGATAGTGAAGTTGAATCCTCACTCACATGTGGTTGGTCACCTTTTCCCAAGAGCGCAGCCTGTCAGTCTTGCACTCTGCTACACTCGGCACACTAGCTTCAATCATCAGTGAAACTGGTAGTCTGGTCTTTGTTTAAAAAAAGTACTATATTATTCAGCACATAAACTTCCAGATTTGGTTACCACACTTTGAATTTCACTAATAAGAAAATGGCTTCTTTAATTCTGATTTCCGCTGTCACTTAACTTCAATATTGATAGCTTTTAGCAAATGTGTATTGGCTAGAAAAATAAATAGCTTTTTTTTTACACAAGAGTTAAATCAAAGTCTCATCTGACTGTTCAGGCGGACATTAAAGATCCCATGGCTTTATTCGAAAAGAGAAGGGAGATTCTGCCGGTGTCCTGGCCAACAAATCTCCCAAATAAAATTGGTCATTCACTTCATGGCTGTTTGCAGGATATTGCTGTGTGCAAACTGTCTTCCGCATTTCGCCCACAACATACACAGTCAAAACCATTTTACAGTGTATCCCGTGAAGTGCTTTGAGACGTCTTGTTGATGCTTTAAGGCACTACATCAAATGCGAGGATTATTATAATCCTATTTACATGTAAGCTAGACGGTCACTTAAGATGATTTTTTTTTAACAGTTAACAGTTAATTAATCTTAAAAAGGTCTCCCTATTCTCCACTTGACATGTCATCAGAACAAGCATGAAGTCGAAATCGGATCTCTTTCTTTAAGCAAACCCCCCCCCCCCCCACCACAACAGACCATAAAAGGACTCTGCCTGAGAACTCCATGCATGCCTGGATTTTGTATACAACTGTTGTACCAACTTTTATTCTTCATTGAATCCTGTAACACCTGTGAATAACAGACCGATTACTCAGGAAATAGAACAAAGACGCTCTGTTGTCTGAACCACAAAGTGCTACTGATTGAATACGTAAAGTGAATGAGCTCCGTCGACAATAAGTTCCTGTACGGGGACAGCAGTTTGGTGGCAGCCCACCCGTGACGCCCGGTTCAGCCCACAGTTTTCTTCCAAGGAATTAAAGAGATGGGGATTTGCGGCGATTCGGCAAAGGAGGCGGCACCTGAGGGGTTGAAAAACGTTACCATCTTATCCCATTCCCTCTCTGCCTCCTTTTCCCACTGCTCCTCCCGCTCTCCCGTTCCCCATCATCATCTTCTTCTTCTTCGCCGCCGCCTCCTCCCCCCCCTTCCCCCCTCTCCTCTGCCATTCCCCCCCCCCCTCCTCTTTCCCATTCCTCCTCTTATCCCCTCCCCACTCTAACCAATCCCTTTCTCCCACTTCCCCTCTCGCCCCCCCCCCACCCCCCCCTCCCAACCCTCCTTCCCCTCCTGGCTGCTTCTTCCATTCATTCCCCTCTCCCCTTATTTCCTCTCTCCTCCCAATTCCCCCACTCCTGCCTCCCCCCCCCTCCCCCCCCACCCCACTCATTCCCCTCCCTCCCCTCTCCCCTTATTTCCTCTCTCCTCCCAATTCCCCCACTCCTGCCTTCCCCCCCCTCCCCCCCCACCCCACTCATTCCCCTCCCTCCCCTCTCCCCTTATATCCTCTCTCCTCCCAATCCCCACCTCCCCCCTCCCCCCCCAGCCCCCCCCCACTCATTCCCCTCCCTCCCCTCTCCCCTTATTTCCTCTCTCCTCCCAATCCCCCCACTCCTGCCTCCCCCCCCCCCACCCCCAGCCCCCACCCCACTCATTCCCCTCCCTCCCCTCTCCCTTATATCCTCTCTCCTCCCAATCCCCCACCTCCCCCTCCCCCCCACAGCCCCCCCCCCACTCATTCCCCTCCCTCCCTCTCCCCTTATATCCTCTCTCCTCCCAATCCTTCCCCCCCTCCACTCATTCTCCTCCTCTTCTTCCCCATGACCCCTCTCCCCCACACACCCCCCTCACCCCCCCCCTCCTGCCCCTCTCCTCCTCTCTCCCCATCCCCGCGTCCCCGTTGTCATGGTGACGGCGCTCAGCCCGTCTC